TCCCAATATAATGGATGAGACAGGGAAAGATAAGTCTCTTCTGCTGGGGATCTGGGACTTTGCAATGTAAACTCTTTCCTTGATGATTCTCTCTCTATATATATACACACAGAGTACTGGTCTGGCACTGTGGGCTAATGCACTGGACTACAAACTCAGTTTGAACTACAAGGTTGGTGGTTCAAGCTCACCAGCCATTCCTTGAAAACCCTATACAGGGTCACCATGGGTTGGAACTGACTCGACAGCATTTTACAATACATATATATCTTTCACTGGTTTTGCTTTCTAGAAAATCCAGCCTAAGACATGTCTCATACAAGTACAACTTTGTACTTTATTGACTATGTGCTTTATTGACTATGTAAAGGCTTTTGATTATGTGGATCATGACAAACTTTGGACAACATGAGTATTCCGGAACACTTAATTGTGCTCATGAAGAATCTGTACAAAGACCAAGAGACAGTTGTTCAAAGAGAACAAGGGAACACTGACTGGTTTAAAATTAGGAAGATGTGTGCCACGGTTGTATTCTTTCACCATACTTATCCAATATGTATGTTGAGCAAGTAATTCAAGAAGCTGTATTATATGAAGAAAAATGTGCATCAGGGTTGCAGGAAGACTTAACAACCTACGATATGCAGATGATGCAACCTTGCTTGCTGAAAGTGAAGAGGACTTAAAATACTTACTGATGAAGATATAGGTTGCACCTCAATTACAGAAAACAAAAATTCTCACCACTGGACCAATAAATGACATCATTAATAAATGGAGAAAAGATTGAAGTTGTCAAAACGTCATTTTGCTTGGCTCCACCATCAACACACACAGAAGAGGCAGTCAAGAGATCAAATGATGTCTTGTAGCATTAGGCAAATCTGCTGCACAAGACCTCTCCAAAGCATTCAAGAACAAAGATGTTAGTTTGAAGACTGAAGTGAGCCTGACCCAAGCCATGGTATTTTCCATCATCTTATATGCATGTGGAAGTTGGGCAATGAATAAGGAAGACTGTAGAACTGATGTATTTGAGTTATAGCATTGGAGAATATTAAAAGTACCATGGACTGCCAAAAAAGCAAATCTGTGTTGGAAGAAGTACAACCAGAATGCTCCTTGGAAGCCAGGATGGCCAGGCATCATACTTCAGATATATATCAGGAGGGACCAGTACCTGGAGAAGAACATCATGCTTGGTCAAGTGGAGGGTCAGAGAAAAAAAGGAAAGATCCCCAATGAGATGGTTTGGCACAGTGGCAATAGCAATGGGCTCTAGCATAGCAATGGTTGTGAGGTTGGCGCAGGACTGGGCAGTGTTTTTGTCCTGTTGTACATACTGGCACCTAACCAATCAGCATATATAGTGCCTTTGACCATAATCCTCTTGCAAGTCCAAAATCAGCAATTTTCTGAAGTTCAGGAACCAAACAAAGCAAATTTTCTTGTTTCCTGACCCTATTAAAAAATCAGGTTTATGAATAAAAGCCAGCCCTTACAATATTTGATACATATTTCTGATGACTGATTCAGGGAATTTGTTTAATTGATAGTTTTCTTTAATATACTCAAATACAAAATAAAGATGGTCATTTTCTCTTAACTTCTTTCAATTTAATCACATTGCCATTCTTCTAAGACTTACCTTCTCTCCAGTTCATACATTTATCTAGAGTAGAACATTCTTCATCTTTCTGATGGCCACTAGCTCCCTGGAGTCGGTGCTCTAAGCACACTCCCATAGGTGCCATTCTCCAACTGTCTCATGGTTGTTCATCTTGGAAAAGAATGCAGCAGAAATGGTTGACTGAAATGACTCCATCGTTGAAGAGAAATTTAAATGCTTCTTTTTATCCTCAGACTTCTTAGACTGGTGACAGGTCTGTCATCATTAAACACAGGCTCTGCCCAAGATTATATGTAGGTTCATGATATAGCTGCAGTAAGAACTCTGGCAAGGAGACAGCACTTCTGTTCTTAATGAACACCCTCATTAGCATCCTGTAAAGCTCCTGCCTCTTGTGTTTCATCTGCTAGGAAATCGCCCAGTAATTCACTCATTTTTATTTCCTAATACTTCATTGTATGGATATACCATATTTTATTTATCCATTCATCAGTTGTTAGACATTTGGGCTGTTTCCACTTAACCAACTTATTTCTTTCTCCATGTTTCAATTTATTCTTGTATGAACAAGGGAGTTAATAGCATGCTTTGTCTGTTTAAGATAGTTACTAGAGGCACACATGGAATATGTAAAACACATTCTAAACTATAAAACACTGTGAAATATAGTGACCCTGTATAGTTTCTGAGGAATGGCTGATGGGTTTGAACTGCCAACCTTACAGTCCAGGACTCCAGAATATGGTTAGCTCAGTGCAATCATTGCCACTATAAAGAATATTATTTGAACATCAAGCCAGTCCCAATACACCCCTATTTTTAGTAAGCCCAGGACAAAGGGCTGCAGCTATAATGGCCCTAGTTAACTGAGTATCTTGAGATTTTAGGTTAGCTTTTTTTCACCAGGCACCATGTGTCAGGGTGACTTTCCACTACCCACACCAAGAAATGTACTCAAGAAATGAAAAAACATTTTAATATTACGGAAAAAAGTAGGAAGGGAAACCTATTTCCATCATAAGCACAAATATTCCCATTAACATCTTGCTATTTTTTGCATGTGTATTACAACTACAGAAGATGTGGGAGGAGGGAGCTGGGATTGCTCGATGATTGTTTCTTTACTACTAGTAGCTGCCAGGAGCCTGATTTCTCTTCCAAGCCTTGGGACGAGCAGCTGGGGCTAATGAGCAGTGGTTTCCGGCTGCTGTTGCTAATCATGGTAGTCCTCAGGGTAGAATGAGGAAACCCAGTGATCTTGTAGGGACAGAGCGGAACTGTCCCACAGAATTTCCAAGGCTGTAAAGCCTTAAGATGCAGATTGCCCCATCTTTCTCCCCTGGAGCAGCTTGTGGATTTGAACCTTTACATTTTGGTTGGCAGCAAAGCACTGCACACCAAGGCTCCTTGATGGGTAATTCACCTGAAAATGAATGGTATTCACTGATTTGGTTATGTGCACCCTTGCTCCCCCCCTCCATTGATGTACCGAAAGTCCTGGTATGGCGGTGCTGAAGGATTAAGCACAGGACTGCTAAGATCAGCAGTTCAAACCCATCAGCCACTCTTCAGAAATCCTATACAAGGGCGCTATGAGTTGGAACCAAAATAAATGGCAACAATCCAGGGAGCAACGGAAATATGCTGGAAGCGGATGTACCTCGAACTCCCACCTCCCCATTCCTTTTCTATTCTGGTTTGTCTGAATGTCGCATCTGATTCTTGAGAGGGCAAAAGGCTTATGAATCCAAGAGACCTCTTATTGAAATGGTGATGGGAGTAGTAATATAGTTCCACCTAACTTTTTGTGAATTGAGTGGTTTACAGAGAGATCAGTTTTACACTCAACCCTTTCACTTCAATGACTGCAATTCCCTCCATTAAGATCAGTTATCCCACTTTCTCCTGTTTCTCCTTTCCATTCCACCTCCTTTCCCGCACCTTTCTGTATTTCATTCTCACGTAACTGCTGCCCTTTTGAACATGAATGTTTGACTATTCAATGTCAATACAGTGTTATTTCCCCTATAGACCTATCTACTGCTTGGCTGATCACTGAGCCATGACAGTTGAGTTCAGTTCCAGGCCTGTAGGGGTAACCAAGGGCCAGTGTCTTAGGTTCCTCCAGTCTTTCTGACCAGTAAGCCTGGTCTTTTTTATTGTTTTGACTAGGACAATACAGTAGCTAGAGGCATAACTCCAATCAAACATCTGCAGGAATGCAGAGCTATACTTGATACAACCTTATGACTTCATGTTTTGTATCATTTACAAGTTTTTGTTAAGTCTCTTCCATGACCAGCAGCTAGCTAGCTATCTGAGAATCATTTCCATGTGATCTTCGTTGTCGTGATGTGACGTGGAGTCGGTTCCGACTCATAGCAACCCTCTACAGGGTTTCCAAGGGTCTAAATCTTTTAGGGACCAGAAAGCCTCATCTTTCTCCTGCGGAAGTGCTGGTAGTTTCGAACTGCTGACCTTAAGGTTCGCAGCCCAATTCGTAACCACTACACTACTGGAGAGAAAATGGAATTGCTTTCTCATGGTTCAGTTAGACAATTTTGGATAAGGGCACTGAATTCTGTTCACAAAAGGTACCAAAATCCACACTGCCTCCTTGTAAAGCCTGGAGAGAGCTAGCCAGCAGTGTTCCAGACTTCTCGAATTAATTCTCGATTACCCTCACCCCACCTCAGCACACGCTCATTAACTAGTTAAGATGAGTGAAAAATCATTGGTGGATCGGCCACTCCCACAATCCCATGAGCTTAAAAAGAAAAGATCGTAAATTCCCTAATATAGAGAATTAATTTATTTTTTGTATTAAAGTGATTAACAATGTTTGTCACTCATTAACTTATCCATATTGAAACTCACCTGTTCAGAAAAAGTTTCAGATCCATATAATGTCCAAAAATTCCTACTAATCATTAAGAAAGGACTTAACAATAAAAGCTACGTGTGTTAAGAGCAGAATAGAAAATGCCAACCAGGTGTCCGGAGAGAAACAGGCTGTGCTCTATATATCATTTCGTTTCTATGGTTCAGGCATAACCATGCTTCAGGTGGAAGCTGAGACACTAGCATGAGAAGAAATCTTTGGTAGTCAAATTGGATGTCTGCTTTCTGTGCTGTGCCATTTTTTGCTAATCTAATGCAGTCAGCTGAATAAGGACTCTGAGTTAGGACCGAGGACAAATGACCTTCAATGCTATTCTTCAGATAATCAATGACTCCACCTCTAGGGACAGCAGAGCTGAATAAATCCCTAATAATTTCTGATTAGGCAGGACCTTGAGTTATAACTCACAGCAGAAATGTTAGGTTCTGCTGTGTAGAATCTACCGACATTCTCGAGGCTGTCACACTAAAATAGAGAGTGGCAGAACACATGGTCCTCAAAGATCTGCTTCTGGTCTACTGGAAAGCTCCGGTCACAAACTGGACAGTCCAAACAAAGGGCCTGAACATGCTGCGCCAAAGCATGATCCTCTGTATCCAGATCATCAGTAAACTTCATGTTGCAGCTGGGGCATTTTGTGATGGACGCCTAGGAGAAAAGGCAGAGAGAGCAGCCAACTGTAAGCTATATGTGGCAGAGACCCTGTCTCTCTGGTTTCCTACTGATCGTCAGAACCTATTGGTGCTTACAAATAAGCAGTGGAGGACTGAATGAATTCCTATTGGGATATCTTCAGTGGGGCATTCCCTAACCCTGGGATTAACAAGCCTGAAGCAGTCAAACTGCCTTCCACACTGAAAGGGGTACATCAACATACCTTTTTTAGCTAGCTGCCTAGTTCATGCCTCTTTCTTCGTCATGTTACCAAACTTATGTCACAGCTAGAGTCCTTGTGCAGAATACTAGTGAATGAACTGTGCTTTCTCCCCACAGAGATTACCTTGGGAGCTTTGAGCAATGAACAAATTGATCCAGCTGACTTCTGAAGTTATCAAAAAGAACCAGTGTCCCGATAGTTCCCCAATGTTGTTGTTGTTAAGTACTGAGGAGTCGGTTCCAACTCATAGTGACCCTCCATAGGGTTTCCGAAGCTGTAAATCTTTACGGGAGCAGACTGCCTCATCTTTCTCCCATGGAACCGCTGGTAGTTTTGAACTGCCAACCGTGAGGTTAGCAGCCCAATTCGTAACCACTATGCTAATCTTCATTCTCCAATAGACTAGACTAGAGCAAATCAAACCCAAGTCACTTCTGACACCTAGTGCCCCTGTAAGACAGAGGAGAACAGTTCTTTAAGGTTTGGGAGGCTGTCAATCTTCACAGGAGCAGCCAACCTCAGCTTTCTCCCTCAGAGCAGCTGGTGGGTTCGAACTCCTGACCTTACGGTTAGCAGTCCAATGCTTACCCCACAGCACTCCTTATAAACTAGAGCAGGAAGTGAATTTTCCTCTAAAGATTGGATATGCACAATCTCAAGGTCAAATACTTACCAGACTGGGAGAAGAACTTTCTTGGATACCTGAGGGGAAATAAAAAAGGTTTCATTCAGTGAAAAATAAACAAAAAAACACCATCCCTAGAGTTCCCAACTGTCCAAATGTATTCTACCCAATGTCTGTAACCCTCATTGTTTCCTTTCTCCCTACTACCTATTCTTTCCTTTATATATATGTATCATTTCTTCTGACAGAAGGCATATCAAGGTCAATGAGAACAGAAAAGGAAAGCATTTTTAATAGTCACATACATGTTATATATAATCAGAAGAATAAAGCTACTTTCAGTAGAGTAGAAAAAACAAGGTTTTAATAAGAACAATAATTATCTAACAAGGAAACCATCTTGAGGATAGATTTTATGACTGTATCATCCATGCAAACAGTATTTTAAAAATGAAATGCTTAAATAAAAAATTCATTTGTACCCTGCAAAGATTTGGCTGGAACTCTTAACATAAAATTACTGCCTTAAACTATCTAAAAAAGCAAATTATGTTTCATATTGCTTTGGAGAAAAAAGAAGAGCTCTCCGTTTGACAAGCACCTCGAACTCCAAGTCCTTGTAAGACCAGAGTGTCTTTCACCCTCATTTCCTGTGCTCTCTGGAGCATATTCCTGCTACCCACCCTAAGTCACACCAACAGGGTGGCTGCCCATTCCTGGGTGAAATAACCCAGCCCTCGTGTTCCCATCTCTAAACCTTAATTAGCTTCCTCAGCTTTGTATATCTTCTACATAAAGACATTTCTCTGATTTATACAATTGGAATATAGCCTCGGGACTCAATTTGTGTCTGCTGCCTCTGGCCGAATGATCTGATTTGCGTCTTCTGAATTCAGATTTATTTCTCAATTAACACTTCACGCCTGGCAATCTTTCTATTGGGTCCTCGGTTTCTGCCCAGCAAGTCTCAACAATGAAACTGGTCTTAATTAGCATCTCAGCTTCAAAAAAAAAAATTTAGTGGAAGGAAAGGCGTTCAAGCAGGGGCCTTTCTCGCAAGAATGGCCAAGTTTTCTTACCACAATATGGGTTTCCATACACAAGTCCTGGATTTCGTGGCACACCTCCTTGAGCTAAAGCAGGCACTTGATATGGCATGGAGTCTAGACCCATGTAACTCAGCAATCTGCTGTTCTCTCTCTTCAGAAACTAAGGATAGAATAGAGAGACATGTTGAAAGGCAGCACCAGGAACTGGGTAGGGGATTTCAATGGTAGTTTTCAAATGGGGCACTGGAGGAACCCAGATAAATAACCAGGCAGCTACATCAATATTTCAAAGATTTGAGTTCCAAGTATCTGAATTTAAATATATTCACTGAATTTTGTTGAGATTAATACAGAAAATCGATGAATATATACCAACTGAAGGGGAGTACAAGTTTTATGCCTGAGGGTGAGGAGTTATATTAAGATGAAAGCAGGTGCTTCTTTCAATCTCCTCCCAAGAACAAGTTTGATATAATATGAACATTCAGCTGACCATCTTCCCGTCTTAGAAAAACCAAAAAGCTGCCCCACCACCCTTTTCAGAAGGCTTCCCCATACTTCTCCACAGAGCCTCCAAGCCTCAGGTCTTTTCCCTCACATTGCACGGATACTCCTAACAACCCAGGAAAACAAGATTTCAAACTCAAACTCAAGATTTACTTATCTAAGTTGAAATTGCACCAGGCAGATGGGGAACGGCTGGAAGTAGAGATTTAGTAGTTGCGAGACTGCATGGACACCTAATCTTTGGTGCTGGACAAGAGCAGGGGGTGATTTCAAATACACCCATTTGATTTGCTGCTGTCAACAATCAACAATAACTTTGTGTCTAACAAACAGCAGATTAAATAAAGGGTGGGTGGGTGAATGAAATGTATAGATAGCATTCATGGGCCCAGCACTTTACAGACCACCACGTCTACTGCTGGTTGTCAGAAGCAGAGAAAAAAGGAATGTTTTACTAAAAGAAATGGGTCCCCAACTAGTACAAAAGAGACAAAGAATATCGTGCCCCCAAAGACCAGCTATGAAGTTAAAAGCAAAAATACTACTTTACATCTTCATCGAGACTTCTCCGTTTCACTGTATTTTTACAATGACAGTAAGGTGACTATATCCACCCCAGTCAAGTTTCAGCTGTAGAACAGGGAGGTTTTGTGGGAGTTAGGAAACCAGATTAAATGTGATCTTTGTTTAGGAATAATTGTCTCATTCCACTGCCCTTGAACTTTATTTTGTCACCATTTCTGAGATACTCGGCTCTGTTCTCTGAAGACCTTATGCATGTTATGGGGTTCTCTAAGACCCTTTCACCCTGCTGGTACAGTGGTTTAAGTGCTCAGCTAGGAACCTAAAGGAAGCCTGGTGTGGCGCTGTGGGTTAATGCGCCAGACTGTAAAGCCGTTTGAACTGCAAAGTTGGCAGTTCAAGCTCACCAGCTGCTCCTCAGAAACCCTTTATAGGGTCGCTATGGGTCAGAACCAATTCAATGGCACTTCACAGCAACAACAACAACAACAAAGGGACCTAAAGGTTGGCAGTTTGAACCCAAGTAGCCTCTCTGCAGGAGAAAGTTTGCTCCTGTTAAAGAAAATAAATAGCCTTTAGCAGGATTGTGAATTGTCACAACTGTAATTGTAGAAGATGTGTAACTAAAAAAGGGGGAATAGTTAGTCTTTCATTTCAGGAGCAGGTGATACCAGGACCATCAAGAAGGAAGAGCATGAGTGGAAAAGCAGAGGCGGTGGATGGAGAGCTAGAGCAGCTGTGGACTCCAGGCCCATGGGCTGAGTAAGGCTGTGTGCCTGTGGGCAGGAGGCTAGCTTGCAGAATGTGCCCTTTGGACACTTAAATGAACATATATATTTTGATTTTGTGGACGTACATCAACTATTTCTGCTTTGTTTGTGAAATATGAGATATAAAAGAAGAGCCACAGGGAGGAGTAGGATAACTATTGTTGCAGGGAGGCGATTGTATCATTGAGATGAAACAAAGCAAATGATGTTCTTTGTAAATCTTCACTCAATTCACAATCAAAAGTTTTAAAAAAAGAAAAAAGACAACAGCCCTAGAAACTCTATTGTTGTCGTTAAGTGCCGTCAAGTCGGTAGCGACTTTGTATAGGGTTTCCAAGGAGCTGCTGGTGAGTTTGAGTTGCCAGGGCAACTATATTCTGTTCTGTAGGGTGCTAAGAATGGGATGGACTCAAGGACAACGGGTTCACACTTACTTCATTTACTTCCTCCATTTTCTCATTTTCTGTCTGCAGAGTTTTACATATAAACTCATTCTCACTTAGTCTTTTTGATAGGTCAAAGTTCTGGTCCTGTCAACAATAAAATAAGGATTAGGATTAGGGTCATATATTGCAATCTGGGTCCAAGAGAGGAAAAACAAGGGGAATGTAAAGGATTCCAGTGTTCTGAAGGGGTGGGGTAGGACAGAAATGGGTCAGAGAAGAGTGGTACCATGGACAGGGGCTGATGGATAGAAAAGTGACTTAACAATAAAATGGCTCAAATGGCATCAAGATGCATAAGCAACATTATTGAGAAAAAGAAAGCTCAGGGAAAAGTTCAAGACTGACTTTTCAGAATTAGGGACAAATGGAGCCTTGTTTAATCCCACCCAACCATGAAAACAATCATCATTGTTTTGAAGACATCTCACTCAATGAAGCTTGAAGCACTATGGGGAGAGCAGTGTGAGGATACAGATCCAGACTTAAGTTGCACTGAGGAAAGAGTCCTGGAAGACATTCATTCATCCAGGGCTATAAAGAAGGCACACCTGATCTTCTACTTCCCAGTTCCATGGCCCCAGAAGTCCTAGGCATGCTTCAGTGCTCTGCCACTACCTAAACATATACACATGTGCATACCTTACAAAAACACTTAAGCTAATCCTACTAGTTGTCCTTTGTTTTTTTCCAAGAGTTTTTATTTGAATGCTGATGCCCAAACTGCTGTGCGCTTCTAGCCGACCCTGAGGTAGTAATGCCAGAGGGGGCTACCGGATGACAGTGCTGACTGTAGGCTCCTTGCTCCCCATCCCCATTGGCTGCTGCTGGCTCTGCTGGTCCTGCTTCACTTCCTCAAAAGGCAGAAATAAGAAAGGACTATCTGAGTCTACGCAGAAGCCTCTTCAGTGGTTACAAAAACCTTTCCATGAGACCCATGGCTGAGCTGGGGACATTATCGACTGGGATCCCCAACTAGTTTCTGGCTTTCCCTCTTCTTTTTGACTGAAAGATAAAGGTCTCTTCCTCTCAAAGGGGTCCAATGCTCTGGGCTAAGTCTGAGAAGCACAAACCTTCACACCCCTTGCTCTCCTGGGCCCCTTCCCTCAGTCACCTACCAGTGTGCAGCCCTGAGTTGCCTGATCTGTCTGTGGAGTCGCTGACACTCTTTGTACTTCTCTAAGAAAAAGGCTTTCCCGGCCTCTACCTTTGCCTTTAGCTGTTCCACCTCTTGAACTAACTGCTCCTCCACTGCTGATTTCTCGTTTCTAGGTTCCTGAAGTATAAGATACATAACCCTCATCGTTAGAGGACTTTGGGAAGATACGTGAGGAAGACAACTGTCTCAGGTCTTGAATAATACTCCACGCAAATCAAGGAAACCACAGCAGTTACAGGAGGTGAAAATGCTGGGCGCCCACGTAGCCTCAAGCCTTTGAACGGTGCTGTTATTTAACACAAGTTCAAATGTGCGTATAGGGCCAGGCAAGTCACATAACTGGGAAGGACCTTGTACAGGGTTTCCAAGGCTTTATGTGGGAGCAAAAAGGCTCATCTTTCTCTTGTAGAGTGGCTGGTGGGCTCAAACTGTGGACCTTTGGTTCTCAGTCCAGTGCTTATCGTATGAAGAAATAAGATGTAAGCAAATGGAGGACACATGAGCTAATTTAAAGGAACAGTTCCAGATACTGTTGCTGTGTGGCTCCAATGTTGCCAGATCCTCCAATTTTTTTTTTAAAAAAAGAGCAGGAAACAAAACTGTAGGGTCAGCACTGGACTGCCAACCACAAGGTCCAGCTGAAACCCACCAGCTGCTCCTTGGAAACCTTATACAAGGTCGCTATGAGTTGGAAAACTGTGGCACTTAACAATAAACAACAACATTCTCAACAATAAGTAAAATTTAAAATTTTACTTATTGGGCAACAAACAAACGAGACTCCTTATCAACAACAAGGATAATGCGCTCTCCCACAGCACCGCGCCCTAACATCATCGCAGAACACAGAACTTCAACACAGCAGGTCTTTTAACAGGAGGCCACTCTTCCACACTATTCCCATCTCATCTGTAGTGAGAATTGCTATTAGGATGATGATACATTTAGCTTCACATTTATTGTTATCCTTTCCTGTTTGTCTGCACCTACAACTCCTTAAAGATGGGGTCAGGGTCATCCTTGAGTCAGTGCTGACTTGTTGTCGTCGTCAAGTTGATTCTGACCCATAGTGACCCTCTATGGGGTTTCCAAAGAGCAGCTGGAGAGCTTGAACCACCGACCTTGCAGTTCAAACGACTGCAGTCTGACGCATTAGCCCTAGCGGCCCTGTACAGGATTTCCTAGGAGTGGCTGGTTCAAACTGACCATGGGGCGGGGTGGTTCAGTGCTTTTCCCTACAGCACCACATCTTTAATACTAGCCACCCATTTCTTCTAAATGCTTTGTAAATGGCAAAATGGAGAGGGCGGAGCAAAGCATCCAGAGGCAAATCCTATTCCACACTGTCTTACTTATCCCCCTCCCTCCACCACCTAAAAACAGAGGCTAACCACTCCTGTTCATGCCCCTTCCCACTTAGCCATCCAAAGACAGACATGCCATTAACTCCTGCTGCTTCCTTGTTGCGGCACTTTCCTTCTGCTTCATCTCGTTCACTGTCTGCTCAAGCTTTTTCTGATGCTTCCTCTGCCAAACAGAAAACAGATTTCAGTCTCATTGCTGGGAAAACATCCCTCCACCCCAACAAATACCAGGAAAGGGCTTGCCGAGCTAACAAGCAGGATATAGTTTTCAAGAAAAGTCATGAACTATGTATGTGACCTCTGTATGGATCTTATTTTAGATGGCTTTCTCTGAGTTAGTGATATCCACGGTAAAGACAGAGTATAGAACATGTGTATTCCACCTGATCAGTTAAACTGAAAAATAGCTGATCATTTTCCTTTTTCAGATGCTCCAGTTTCTCAGTCTTATCTTTATCTCTCTGAATAAGCTTCTCCATTTCTTTCTCTTGGCTTGACAGCTGGACCTAAGGTGAAATAGTGAATAATATGAAGACATGAGAAGAGAAAAAAAGGAGCAATGCTTTTTTAATGTACAGTAAGAGATGTGTTTCTTCAGTAACTCTCGATTGCCCACTATTTATTCTTGTTAAGTGCTGTCGAGTTGGTTCTGACCCCTAGCGACCCTGTATAGGGTTTCTGAGAGTGGCTGGTGGGTTTGAAGCCACACCAGGACTCCATAATTTATAACTTCATAATTTTATAACCTAAATAGCTAAGACTTAAGTAAGCAAAGTTCTATCAATAATCGTTACGACACAGCTTCCTAATAATAAGAATGATTCTGCTGCGATTTATGCTTTACATTCTAGACTTTTAAGTGAGTTTTGCTTGGTAGACCTGCAGCTAATAAAAAAGTATGAAAACCATTGGTGTATAGATGACTCTCATTCATCCTAAGAGTTCATGATAAATATAAATTGAACAAGTTATTCAATTCCTTATGGACCACAGCAATTTTTAAAAAGAAGGGAGATTTAGTTCCAAAACAAAGCACACAACCTGAAACTTGAGTATTATGCTTTGAAATACACACCACTAAGGCACTCTAGTAGCATAGTGGTTATGAGTTGGGCTGCTAATCTCATGGTCAGCAGTTCGAAACTACCAGCTGTTCCATGGGAGAAAGATGAGGCTTTCTGCTCCTGTAAAGATTTACAGCCTCAGATACCCTGTACAGGGTCACTATGAGTCGGAACTGACTCCACAGTACTTAACAACAACAACTAGGCACTTGCTAGAATGCAACGCACCTGCCTGGGAATAGAGGCAGTTGGCAAAGGTAAAAAAGAATATACGTTTTGACAAGGGTACAGCATTGCCTACCTGAAGCTGATCTACTCTGATTCCCATCTTCTCATTTTCTGAAGATATCTTCTGGTTTTGCTCTTTGAGTCTGTGGAGGTAGATATGACGAAGTGAAACAAATGCTGATCTCAGAATATAATGCTACATTCCTGGATACTGACTGAGAAGTAGCAATAATTGTTTCTCTTGATCAGTCGCCTCTGGCCTTAAATGATTTAAGGCTGTGTTGCCTCTTGCCCTGCAGAATTACTCTTTAAATCCACTCGTCTCTTTCCGAGGCCAGTGGTTAAATGATTGGATGCCAAACATCCCAGCTTCTCTGGTACCACAGAGTCACCAGCTATGCGTCAGTGTAGTGAGTGGGTTAGTCTCTTTTAGAGCGTCCTATTTTGGCTGTGTGACACTAAACTACTGCAGTATTTAACCCCTAAAGTGATCAGCACTGGACTTCGAACCACAAGGTCTCCATGGCACTTAACAACAACAAAGTTAACACTTGAACTCAGGTACATTTCTCCTCATTCTGATACCAATTCTCCAACCTCGATTCAGAGTTCCCAATTCAAAGGGGAGAGCCCCAGACTCAGAATTTCTGATATAGCAGCAGTTTCTGACATGCAAACTCACTGAAGCAACTCTGTCTCCCAACTGTCCTTTTGTTCTTTCACTTTTTGTTCCAACTTCTTATTGATGCTCTTTAGGGTTTCCAGCTCCTCCTGTAGTTCCTAAAGAGAAAAACCAAAAAGTCAAAGGGACAAATCAATTTTATGAGTGTTTTTTTAGTTGTTGTTGAGTATCTAAGGCAGTACTGGAGTCCTGGTGTGGCATCACAGGATAAGCACTGGACCTCACAGTCAGTTTCCACTCCTTGGAAACCCTATAGGGTTACTATGAGTTGGATCTGACTCGATGGCACTTGACAACAAGGTAGTATAAGAGGGTGAGACCACAAGCAAAATAGATATCGTGTTGGATAAAAAGCATCATCCAACTTCATCTTTAACCAGCAATCATACCTGCATCTTCTGGAGCTCAAGCTGAATGTCTGAGTTCTGCTTCTGGAGGTTGACACAGCTGTCCTTCAGTTCCTGGTTCTCTTTACAAAGCTCTTTGTTCCGTTGATCAATCTCTTCCACCTCTTCCTACAAGACAGTAGTCCATAAACTTAGATTTGACCCTCTAAAAGAAAATTCCCTAGACTGAGATAATGGTATCACTCACTGTAGTGACACCTTTGTGCCCTAAATAAGAGCAGAGTCTAATATAGGTACATCTATTTAAGTGCAAAGGAGCTTTGGGGACTTTGTAGAGTAAGTATTGGACTGCTAACCACAAGGTCATCAGTTCAAACCCACCAGCCACTCCACAGGAGAAAGATGAGGCTTTTCGTTCTCTTACAAGATTTATAGTCCTGGAAACCCTATATAAGATTACTATGAGAACTCCTGGTGTGGCACCAGAGGATAAGCACTGGACTGCGAACCACAGGTTGGCAGTTCAAATCCTCCAGTTGGTTCTTCAGTCTGGAATTGATTAAAGATACAATCAAGATTCACTGATTGCATCTTTGGTGATTGGAATACAAAAATTGGGAACAAAGAGTACAGATATGTTCTTGGAAAAAAGGCGCTGATAAATTTACTGTGGTATTTAAGATGTATGCATGACAAAAATTAAGTAAGTAACTGGAAAAGCAGCAAATGAAACAAGAGTTTTAGAGAAAGAAGAGATCACTTATTGATATGATTCTTAAGGTTTTGATATCATTTCTGAGTGGGTCTGATACCACATAAAACTTCTCCAACATTATCTGACTCATTTAGACTTAATTCCTGTCCTGGAATTGCTAATGCTAATGCAGAGATGAGATGTTTACCGACCTGAGTGGTAACAACCAGGATGTCCTCTTCACTTTCCGGACGGAACTGGAAAGGAATACTTGCTCCTCGGACCCCGCCATCCTGGTCCACATAGCAGAACTGGTAATACTCATCATCCTTGGGCAGGTAGTAAGCTGAAAACACAACAAAAGTTTAAAATCAAAGTAAGATCTATTCAGAAAATTAGAAATCTTTTTTATCTGTCTCAGAAAGCTCAAGTGCCAGAAAGACAAGTAGCCTTTTCTAGCTACTGTCTCCAACAACTTTGTTTCAGTATTTTTCTCACCTTTGAATTTTACTTCCTGTTGTTTGGGTGATTCACTGTTTAGGTCAACGGGCAAAGTAACCCACATGAAGGTATAATACTCACGAGTTGTTTTCCATCCCACCTGCAAAGACAATAAGGCATTTGAAAGAACCAAAGGGAAAGTCTTATTTGGGCTAGCTCTGCTTAAAATGGAGTCCTGGTGTGGTGCTGTAGGATAAGCACTTGACTGTAAGATCAGTTTGAGTTGCAAGGTTGGCAGTTCAAACTCCCCAGCCACTCCCTGGAAACCTTATACAGGATTGCTGTGAATCGAAACCAACTTGACAGCAATTAACAACTTCTTAAAATAAGAACCTGGTGGCACTGAAGGATACCCACTTGGCTGCTAACTGCAAGGTTGGAAGTACAAACCCTCCCGTAACTCCGTAGAGGAGCAAAAAGACGAGGCTTTTTTTTTTCCAAAACATGGTCTCTTTGAGTCAATCAACTTGGAAGTAGGTCTGGCTTGGTTTTTGGTCTTCTCAAATACTTCATTTGTCCATGTTGGAAATACAGCAGAATGGGTTCATTATACCAAGATTCACTCACCATGGATCAAATCTTGTTTCTGACTTATGACAATAACATATGGCAAAAAAATCTGATGAGGGGCTTCAAAAAGTTCATGGAAAAATTGAATGAAAAATTGTACTTTTCCATGAATGTTTTGAAGCCCCCTTGTGCAACTAAAAATGTACACATAGTACGAACTACCAGACTTAGAAGGAAATAAAAACTGATTACTTAACATCTAGTGCAAGTACTCCAAAAATTACACCTCCAAGTCAGACCAAGAATTGAGTGATGAGGAACTGTGAGCTTTAACCCTGCTGTATTCTTACACTGTTCTTGGAGTTTCTATGCCAGTACTCAGCACTAGTTTGTCCTCTACTGTGTCCAATTCAGCCTTGCCACCTATACAAACATGGTGTTGTTAAGTGCTGCCTAGTCAGTTCCAACTCATAGCAACCTTGTATAAGGTTTTAGATGAACTTTTTGGTGGGTTTGTATTGTAAACATAGTTAGAAGTCCAGTGTTTATCCTACATTGTTATACTACTACATTTAAAAAATGTATGTTTTGGAATGATACGTGTATATGGATGGGGAAGGGGTAAACAGGAATTCTTAGCAATCTGGTGGCCACAAAGTCCCCTTGTAGGTACTGAATGCAGTAAATCATATGACAAGGACCCAGCAAAACCTGCCTCAGAGCAGCTAAGAGGAAAATTGTCTCATTAAATGTAAGACTGCATAAATCTCCTGTTGAAGACAGGAACCATTGTCTTCGAGGGATCGACTCGGCAAATGAGAGGCAAAATTGCATCTATTGTTATCTTTTGACCCTGCCTGAGCCCAGTGGGAAGAAGAAGAACTAAAAATAAATTCCATTTTTCTATATTAAGAACTATAGAGTTGGAAAGGCTATACTGAGAGCTCATCAGAACATACTAGGGCATGTTTTAGTGTCTCATTAATACACACCCCATTGCTGTAAGTATCTGAGAGCCACTGCAACCTGCAGTGGTCCAGGAAGTGGGAATTTTATGGAGTCCTCATTCACATCCTGGAGCTTCTTAATGCACTGCGACTGAAATATCATTTGGGAAGACCTCAGAATTACTGCTGCCTGGGAACAAGGAAACAACTGCTAGTCATAGGCAATTTCTGACCTTGGTGGCTCCACTACAGTAGATTTAGGGCAAAAATGACTCTCCTTATCCCAGTTTGTCTGTGACATATTTCCCCTCTTTTAAAACCTTGAAAACATTTAAAGGCCCACGCAAAGGGAAGCCTAAGATTACACACTGGTTTGAAGAAGAGAAAGCTGACTACCACTTGCTTTAAGCTCGATGACTGGTGGTGGGTTTTTCTAGCTTGAGACGATGCAGCATAGGCATCCACTCAAAAAGCTATATACTAAGTGCCAACCAGGTGCCAGAAAGTACGGAGCTCTGTTATAGTACTGTAGAATACGCACTGGACTGCAAGGTTGGTTTGAACCGCAGGGTCAGTGATTCAAACTCACCACCTTGGAAACACATTGGAATTGACTCGACAGGGCTTAACAACAGGAGCTAAGAAATCTAAGGCTACACATAAAAAACAAACATGAAGGACAAAACTCCTGTTGACTCTAATTGTAACTGTTCAAAGGCATTCAGCACACTGCAGGAAAGCACAGGTCTGGGAGGTAAGCGCTGTGTCACCAGTTTTCATTGTTGTTAAGTGTCGCCAAGTCAGCTCCCACTCAGAGCGACCTTGTATAGGGTTTCCGAGGAGCGGCTGTCACTGTGAGACCTTGGAAAAGTCACCATCTCTCTTGAGTTTACTCATCTATAAACAAGATATACTACTACCCATAAAGAGCTCTGGTAGCGTTGTTGTAGTTGCTAGGTGCCATAGAGTTGGCACCGACCCACAGTGACCTTATGCACAGCAGAACAAAACACTGCCCGATCCTGGGCCAAGCTCACTAATGTTGCCACACTTGAGTCCATCGATGCTGCCACGTGGCCAATCCATCTTGCTGGGGGTCTTCCTCTTTTTCTCTGACCCTCCATCTTACCCAAACATTACCTTACCTTCTCCAGTGACTGGTCCCTCCTGACAATATGTCCGAAGTATGAGAGATGAAGTTTGGCCATCTTGGCCTCCAAGGAGCACTCTGGCCGCATAGTGGTTATGCATCAGGTTGCTAACTTCAGGGTCAGCAGTTTCAATATTTTGAACAGCAGTTTGAAACTACCAGCTGTTCCACAGGAGAAAGATGAGGCTTTCTGCTCCTATAAAGATTTACATCCTTGGAAACCCTGTACAGAGTCACTATGAGTCAGCACATAACCACCACTACTACTACCCATCTTATGGGGTGCTGTGCTGTAAGGATTAGAAAGCACAGACATACACCCATAACTCAAAGGTCTAGTACACACAATATGTTCTTAAAAAAACAAAAACAAAATTTGTGTCCTTTCTTTGTTGAATGCTGTCAAGTTGGTTCTGACTCATAGCGACCCTGTACATGGCTTCTGAGGAGCAGTTGGTAGGTTTGAACTACTGATCTTGTGGTTTAAACTGACCTTGTGGTCTAGTGCATTACCCTGCAGTGCCACACCAGGACACTGAGACTCATATATATATATATAATCTTCTTTCTACGAGGAACAACACTACTATGTCAGTTATGGGTTTAGAACATCTTTTAGTTTGATGGTTCAATATTCTGCCCAGTGTCCATCTGGTTGTCAACTATGCCCACCTCCAAACACCGGAGCTCTATCAAGGAGGCTTGCATTTGAAACAATTAAGGAAAAAGAATTTAATGAGAGATGTGAACAAGCTACAGCTCCTTCACAGGGCAGTGAAGAATGAAGTCTGATTTCAAGATGAACAGCAATGGCAAACAGGCGTATGACACACTGATGTGTCAAACCAAAGGTCACTGATGCTGTGACTCAGCAGTGTAAATTACTTAAATCTGGCCTTTGTCTTCAGTCTCATGATGGAGTGTGGCATGTCTGTGTGTGTGTGTCAGAGTCAGGGAGAGGAGGAAAAAGGAGAGGAAGTTGATTATAAAACAAGTAAGAGTTTCTGTACTAGAACTGACAACGTGATTAGACACTGGAAGAGGCCACGGAGGAACTCATACACTTTGTTAGAACGCTTTACAAAGAAGCCAGGACCTTAGGAGTAGATTTCTTGGGTGCAGGATGTTGGACCAGGCAGTTTCTCATCAGCTTTTCCAGATACTTTTAGTCTGAGGTTGAATTTAAAATGCAAGTCCTACAGCACACATTGGTATAAAGGGTAAAGTATTAGGGAGCTTAGTCTAGGATTTTAAAATTGCTCAGACATAATATACAAAATGCTTATAAGATTCACCTCTGGGTTCCTGATTATTGTTGTTGGTAAGTGCCATTGAGTCAGTTCCGATCCATAGTGACCCTGTATAGGGTTTCTGAGGAGTGGCTGGTGAGCTTGAACCATCGACCTTGTGGTTCAAACTGACTTTGAAGTCTAGAGCATTAACCCACAGTGCCACACCAGGACTCCAGGTTCTTGATTACTTGGTACTTAATTATCCACTTACTCTAAAGATGCCAATCCAATCCTTTCGACGAGGGATGAAATGCTGGGTGAGGGTATAATAGCATGTGATGTCCCCTCCAGGAACGTAGAACTTCTCCACACTGTTGAAGATGACCTGAGCGAAATGACAGTGGTCTAGCATGACAGCGGATGTCGGGGAATCTTCTATGAACTCTTCCATGGTGAGGATGGTCCGGTATGAGATGTGGGCTAGAATAAGGCATAGAAAAGATTGCCTGAAGTACTGGTGATTTCTGCTCACTCACCCAGGGAGGGAACATTCGGTTCAATGCAAGTCAGAAAAGCAAAAGCCTGACAAGTTCTGAGGACATACAACTTGCTTTCTGTTTCATTGTGAATCACTGTGCAGGTCAGAATTTCCTCTGCTATATGAATCTGACCTCGGATGTCTAGCTCACCACCCTCATGTATCCTTAAGTTCTGTTCAGAGCTAGTCTGAATGAGAGAAAGACTGTTTGCCTTCCAGTGGTGACAAGCAAGGGTTCTGAAAGCAAAATGGCAAAATTCAATCCCCAACTTCAATTACTGTGTGCGCTGCGCAATGTAACCAAATTGGCTCTGCATCTATTTCCTCATCAGCTAATAATAACACCAAATGTGGAAATCAAACAGTAACAATATTGGTGGTGGTGGTAATGTGCCGTGGAGTCAGTTCTGACTCATAGTGAACCCTGCATACGCTTTCTGAGACTGTAAATCTTTATGGGAGCAGAAAGCCTCATCTTTCTCCCATGGAACAGCAGGTAGTTTCAAACTGCTGACCTTGAGGTTAGCAGCCCAACTTGTAATTACTACGCTACCAGAGCTCCTTAAATAACAATATTGCACGCAAGTAATATTTTGCTAAAAATAATTTTTCAATAGCTACAACAGTAAATCAACAGAGAACTGACAAATTCAGTCTGGATTCAGAAATGGATGTGGAACTAGGGTTATCACTGCTGATGTCAGATGGATTTGGCTGACAGTAGACACTACCAGAAAAATGTTTACTTATGCTTTATTGATTACGCAAAGGCTTTCAACACTGGATCCTGAAACACTGTGGATAACATTGCAAAGAATGGGTATTCCAATTTAATTGTACTCATGAGGAACCTGTACAAAGACCAAGACGCAGACAGTGCTTCAACCAGAACAAGGGAATACCGCATGGTTTACAATCAGGAAAGATATGCATTAGGGTTGTATTCTTTCACTACACTTATTCAATCTGTATGCTGAGCAAATAATCCAAAAACCCAGATCATACAAAGAGGAACGTGGCATAGGATTGGAAGATTTTCTCTGAGCTAAACATACTCTATACTTGATAACCAACAATGTTGATGAGAAGTTAGGCCAGGGATAAACGATGCAGTCTGTTATCTATGTAAAAAGCAAAATGTACATTATATAGAGATCAAACCCAAAGCAATTCCGACTCCACTAAGTTAACAATAGACCATAAAGTCAGGGAAGATAACCCACCCCAGTGCTTTAATTTGATAGCATAAAAATATTAATGTCTTGACATTTGCTTTATAATTATCAGGGAAGACCAGTTCTGGGAGAAGGACATCATACTTGATCAAGTGGAGGATCAGCCAAAAAGAGTAAGACCCCCAATGAGATGGATTGGCACAGTGGCAGCAGCAATGGGCTCAAGTGTAACAACCAATTGTGAAGACTGTTACAACCAATTGTGAAGACTGTTACCTGCCACCGAAGTGTTTTGTTCTGTTGTGCATAGGTTGCTATGAGTCAGAACTGACTCAACAGCACCTAACAACAGCAAATAAAAATGCCACCTCATTTGTTTGTGTGTTGTTGTTTGAGGGTTGAGGATTAGTCAGCACAGAGAAGATTTAACAAATGGTTAGTGGTCTTTTTGCTTTCTTTTTCCTGACACAGTGCTTGTCCTCAAGCAACTCTCAGTCCAATATGGAATTTCAATAAATATACAAGGGCTTGGAGTCCTGGTATATGGACTGCAAAGTCAATTTGAATCATAAGGTTGGTGGTTTAAATGCACTATCTGCTCCTCAGAAACCCTATAAAGGGTGGCTCTGAGTCAGAATCGACTTGATGGCACTTAACAACAACATTCAAGGGACTGCCAGACAGATGGAAAACGTGAAAATGTTCTGGGGTGTTCAAGAGGGTATGATGCAATTGGTAGGAAAATGAAGAAAAGCTTCAAGAAGTAAGCAGACTCAGATGAGTAGCCAAGAAGCAGGATTAGGATTTGGACAAGAGGGCATGGGAGCATTCCAAGAGAAGGAAACAGCACTGAATAAAAGCAAAGAAAAATGCAGCCCACATTAGGAGAACAAGCGGGTTTGGATCTCTATGTGTAAAATAACATCTGTGTTTCAAAGTCCCCATACAGATGTGACTAGGGATGGGAAGCTACTTTGGAGGTAAAAATATATAAAAGAAACCAAGTCTTTTTAATTGTTAAGATCTGGTATTTCTTGTCCCACAACTGAGACCCATCATTGTTTCTAAATGCCTTGCTAGTCTAGCACTAGTGGGTTCCTGATAATCAAAGCAGGCTTTTACAGGGAAACCAGTTAACCACTGCAGCACTACACAGAGGAGGAAACAGCTGTGCATATACAAATACTAGATTCCTTGCAAATCCAGTTGTTGAAAAGAGGAAGATTGCATATACATGCAAAAAGAACAACAAAAACACTAGCTCTCCCTGCTCTACCCCTGGTTTGATTTTGAAGTCTAAGCATGGAATCTCTTCCAAGTCCCCCAGAAGTTAGTCTTGTCACAGAGAAAGGCAATAAAACTTCAGGGCAGTGAACTAGGAACTGAGATGGAGAAGAGGAACTAAGAAATGCACTGGCTTTCTGTTTGGTAATACAGCTTAATTACATCCTCAACATGAGGTCAGTTTGTGTGTCACATTCCAGGTCAGGGTAAGTCTCCCTCTAAGTCTCTCTTACATTTGGTTATGAAAGCGGAAACAGGGAGCTTTCTTAGCTTGTTGTTGTTAAGTGCCATCAAGTTGATTCCAACCCATAGCAACCCTGTATAGGGTTTCTAAGAAGTAGCTGGTGAGTTTGAACTGCCGACCTTAAAGTTCAAACTGACCTTGCAGTCAAATGCTTATCCTACAGCTCCACACCAGGATTCCCTATTTTTATTTGTGGTCTCCAGCACAAACCCTTGTCTCACGCCTAGAATACCAACTTATCTGAGCATGTAATAGTCTTTTTACTATGGATCATCAAGAACAGTCAAGAGTGACTTCAGGGCCTGTTCCTCAACCCAAAAACCATACTCCCTGTTCTTTTCCTTCATTCACCAGTTGCTCAAGAGTTGATTCCAACTTATGGCAACCCCAAGTGTGTCAACAGGTTTTCAGTGGCTCATTTCTCAGAGCTAGATCACCAAGCCTTTCTTCTGTGGTGCCTCTAGCCTCAGCCTCCAACCTTTTGGTTAGCAGCAGAGACTTAACCGTTTACACCACCCAGGGACTCTTTTTTGCTTAAAACTTATATAATTTGGACTTTCTATTATGAGCTTAGTGTAGTGCTGTTGGTTAATGTGCTGGACTGTAAAGTCTGCTTGAACCAGGAGGCCTGTGGTTCAAGCTCACAAGCTGCTCCTCAGAAACCCTATACGAGGTTCGCTATGGGTTTGGAACCCACTCGACAGCACTTAACACCACCACCAACGACAACACTATGAGCCAGGAGGGCATAACTCACAGTAATCAAATCAAGAATGGATAGCAAATATGTACAAAATGACATGAAAGACCTCCTATTCTGCGTGTACAGCCAAAGGAAACCTGAAAAGTCAATAGTCTTGGCTCCTTGCTTACTAAAAATGCAAGAGACTCTAATAAGCTTCTGCTTTAAGAGATCTCTGGATATTGGCGTGTTCTTGAAAAGGGGGGAATTCGCTTCTGCCAAGACTGGGCAGAGGGTTAGGAGGTGGGCAGAGTAGAGAACTGCAGTACCTTCCTTTCTCATCTTACCAAAACAAGGGCAGAAAGGGCTGCTGATAAACCTAGAGGACAACCCAGGCCAAGCTGAAGTCTGTGCGGAGGCTCTCCAATTTATCCTAGAAAGAAGTCAAGGGATTCCTAAAGCCTTTCCTCCTTCCTAGTGATTCAAATTCTCTGTGAGAAATGGGCTCAAAAACATTAATTTGTAAAGTTTCTTTCTGACAAGCAATGGAGGATGTGCATATGATCGGGATGGAGGGAAAGGATGTGGAAGGAAAACTGAAATGATCTGAACCAATTTCCCCCTTCGACTACAGAAAGGATCTACAATCCACTTTTAGTTCTGGAAATAACTGCAAGGCAAGGTAAGGAGAAGAGCAGAAATGTAAATAAATTTAAAACTGCATGGCAAGGTAACATAAAGAGCAGAAATTTAATTCCTTACGCCCCCAAATCAAGGACTAGCCATATAAGTGATCTGGGATGACGGACTTTTAAAAGCAAAACCATTAAGCATGGGAAAAGAACACAGATTCCACAAACCGTCAGAGGCACTTTACTTTGTCTAGGACACAATTACTTTTCTTTTCAGGTAAATTTCCGAAAGTATTAGGCTCCTCAAAGAAAGCAAGCAAGAAAGGCAATGTATTTTAAGATGCATTTCCTGAACTTGCTCCTGGCTTCTGAGAAAGCCTGACACATTTTCATCTAAAGAGCTTTCCAAATTTAATATACGACCCTCAGGACTATTTTATGGCAGCACAGAAATCCTCTTTAAGAAAAGGTACAACAGCCAGTTCAACTCTTGCTCTCTGTGGTAATCATCAAACTACACTGATAAGATTTATCTTCATGTATGGTGAACCATGGAGTCCTGGTGTGGTGCTGTAGGATGAGCACTAAATTGCTAACTGCAAGGTCAAAGGTTCAAACCCACCAGCTGCTCCTTGAGAATCCTATACGGGGTCGCTATGAGTCAGAACTTGATGGCAATTAACAATAACATGCTAAACAATTAAAAATAATTAAAATTCTAACTTAAAAGAAAGGCCAACCTTTTCATTAGTCTTTTACACTAGCGTTTCAAGAAAAATGAAAACTGTAGGTAGCTTCTCTGAATTTGTTTAGACGAAACCAAGTAATTCCACAACAGAGGAGACATATGCAAATCATACGCAAGCATGTTTCCTCTGCTTGGGAGCAGTGAAAACAAA